AAATATTATTTAAAAATATTTTAAAAAACGAGACGTGACACTTAACAGTTCTTTTTAATGGTAGACACTTAAAAATGTAACGGGGAAAATATTAAGCATCTATTTTTAATAAAAAATTCTTTAGATAATAAAATTCAATTTGAGATATATTGCGAAATGAGTAAACTAGGGTAAGAGGGACGCCTTTGGCTCTGCAATATCAGATCTAGATTAGTTGATCAATAAATTTGATACAAGTGATTATGTTAAAAAAAAATACCTCAAAGTGTATTAAGCTTTAAAAAAACGCGTACATTCTATATGATTGCTCTCAGCATTCATGCTTTTATAATTGTATAATAGTTAGGGTCGCTGATGATCACCCGCTTCTTGTTTGTTTGACTATTTATGTGAAATTAATTGCTACAAAATTTTTGTGATTTTTAAGGTTGTTGAATCAAAATAAGGTCTCCCCCTTGATTTAGGGTTGTTTTATATCTTCTTATCGTAGGTACCTCCCTCAATAATAATCAAATACGTAATTCATCTAAAAGAAGCTTATTCAGATGTGATCGTCAAGTATAAGAAATTTATAAGTATTCGAATCCGACATTTATGATAAATGTAAATATCTTTTTTAGGAATGCCAATGAGTCTAATTGGGTCGGGTTTTTTATCTACCTAATTCGACTAAAAAATATATATATGCTCTACCAGAATTTGACCTGACGTAATATTATTTACATGACTCAACTTGACCTGAAAAATATATATCCTCCATTCCGCTTCGTTCTAATCCAAAATTTTAGAGTATAAATCTAACTTGACTTGGCTTGATCCGATATAAAATAATTACTTAATTAAAAAAATAATAACATTTTAAAGAAATTACTTTATTAACCTCGGTTGGGTCGGGTCGGAGTTTTTCACCTTCCACCCGACCTCACTCCCTTAGAAAACCCTATTTGACCCGATCAAAACTTATATTATTTTAAAAAAAAAATCCATCCCTATCGAATTGGGACAGATTGAAACCTATTAATTTCAAGTTAAATTGTCATCCTAATCTTTCTATTTAATAAAAGAAATTAATATATTTAAAATGATAAATGAAATTCACATAATTATTTGATATATTAATATTATTTTTGAAATTAAATTATTATTATTTTGATTGCTTTTAGGTATCTTATAACTAATTAATTTAGACCGACTCCCATCATCAACATATTTCATAATAAAAATAAAAATATAAATATAAATAATATGTGGGGCGGAGGATATTGGCTACCAAAGTTTTATATAATGTATTAAAAAGTAAAGGTGTTCAAAATCGGGTACCACCTTTTCAAGTATTCGGTTATTTGGGTAGTATATTTATCGGTCTGTGGTTCAATCTATTAAGTTCGAATATTCTTAATTTTTGGGTCGAGTGTACCCCGTTCATATATATATATATATATATATTATTTTTTAATTTAAATTCTTTTTTTAAAAATAACATAGGAAATACATAAAAATTTAGAAGTTCATAATACACATTCTACACACAAAAATCAGTGACTTGAAGTTAGTTTTAAGGATATATATATATATATTGTTTGTGTGTATTAAAGTTTATTTTCAGAAGAAAACACTAAAAATATCAATATCGATCATGATTTTTTTGAATCTCATATTGATAAATTAATAAAAACTTCTTCGAAAAATTTAAAACATAGAAGTACATAACACAAATATAAGAAAATTTTCGGTGCATCAATTTCATTTTAAGGTTAATATATATATATATATATATATATATATATTAAAACTATCGGGTCAGGTACCTGGTTATAAAAAAATTCGACCCAGACTCAGTTCAACTACCTAAAAAAATTATAGGTCGGGTAGTTGGCTCGGTCGAATAATATTTTTTTAGAGAATTATCATATTTTTTTAGGTTCAGGTCGGAGGATCAACAGGTCGAATCAACTAATTCATGTATTTTTGAACACCCCTACTAAAAAATAGCGTTGGATGATATATAAAAAGAAAAGTACAAAGTAATAGAAAATAATCTAAACTATACTATTAGTATTTTAATTATCACTTTTATTTTGTTCCAATCATTCATTTTCTTTAAAATATTATACTTAACATTACGTTTTGATTTTATTTTGATCATTTACTGTTAAAAATTTATTAGAATTACTGACATGATAGTTTTCAATAATATTTTATTTTAAGTTATTATACATTGGCTTCCTTAAACACTAAATCTATGACGTCTTTTGCGTCTACTATCTTTCATTAAAGTATGATCTCTTTCATGTTGAATTTGCATCTTCTATGACGTGGACGCGTCACATTAGCATTTTCATCCATTTATTTTGATGAGTCTAATAATTTCTTTAACCTAAAATGAAATATTAGGGGTTAATGTGATAAAAAAAGAATAAAGGATAAAGTGATTATTTTATCAAATGTTAAGAGTATTCTTAGTCATTATGCCATATTCTTAAGATGAACTATGCTTCTAATCACTAAACTTTCACTTTATTTTTGTTTTGGTTACTCAACTTTCAAAGTTTTTATTGTATAACCCAACTTTCAAAATTTATTTATTTTATCACTCAATCATTAGTTGTGTAACACTAACAGACGTACTAACACGTTGCATTTTGGGCAGACTTGTTTATTAAATTAACTTAACATTTAACTTGTCATCTTTCCTATGATCGATATCTTCTTTATTGTCGTTCAACTTTTGTCAATCATCGTTTGTGACACAACTAGTATCAAAACTTCTCCTTTCTTTTTTCGTTTTTTTATTCTTTCAACTTGATTTTCCTCAAAATTTCCTTAAAATCGACAAAACTCAAATCAAATCTTCGGCCTCTTTTTGTATGATCTGTAATCTCCATCGTCTGATCATTGTTGAATCTAAATATATTGATTTTCTCCTTCTTCTCGTTCTCTCCATCATTTGAATTTTAAATAAAATATCCCGACATCGATGAGTCAAAGGGAGTATGAAAAATCAAGGTTGGAAAGAAAAGTTTCAGGGGCTTTTGTATAATTTTACTTCGAGAATTTAATCATCATTAGATATGATCAAGTGACCCAAAAATGAAATTTGGAAATCATATTATTAAATAAATTTTTTTGAAAACTGGTTAATCAAAACATAAACACAATAAAAGTTGAGATACTAAACATATAATTTACCTATAAGGACAACCACTAGTAGTCAATATTTTCACGGGAAACAGAAATTAGATTTGTTATTCTAGACTTTCTAGACATTTTGATATATTATGATAATATTATGGCTGGATTGAGGGGTGAGTAGGGGTTGTGGTTTCTATAAAAAAATTTAAATTATTATAAAATTTAAATACTTTTTTTCATTTTTAATAATTTATTTTTTATCTTTTTAAAAATTTATAAATTTATTATCCTCTAAAATTTAAAAAATATTATCATAGCTTAAAGTTTTGCGCCCATCACTAAATAATACTATAGAATTGACTCCTTGATCTCAACCAACTGAACTGACCCGTGGTATAAAATTAAAAAGAATAAACTACACAGATGATCACTAATGTTTGAGGTATATTTTGTTTTTCCTACTGATGTTTTAAAAATTATAAATCAATCACTAACATTATCGATTGTTACAAACTGGTCACTCAACGTTACCGGAACGTTACCAGACTGTAAATAATAAAATGTTGTTGTGGCACATTAAACCGGTGATGTGACACTATTTTCCCACACATGATTTTCTAAAGCTTTTGGCCAACATTTAAGGAAAAAATTAAAGAACAAAAAGTTTATCTTCTTCTCCATTCTTCTTCTCTCTCCTATCCTCTCATGTGATTCTATATTATGGCAAAGTGAAGCTAACTGAATTCCTCTAAATCCCAATTGTTCCATTGACATTGTAAGTGAATTCTTTTTATTTTTTCATTCTTCTTCTCCTTCCCTACTCTTTTGTTAATGAGTGAGTTTATTGAAGTAGATTCCAGCAGACATAGTTGTTAATACAATGTTGGGAATAATGTCAAAGCATGTTTCAATGTCCAAGAAAGAAGAGACGAGTTTCTACCACCTTTGTTCTTCTTCTTCAAACCCTATAGTTTTAGAGGATTTGTTTAACTTAATCTACCAACACTTCAAATCTCGTCCCTTCATCGATTCTATTGGTCAACCGATTCGAATCTCAGAAATGAAAGTCTTTAACTCACTGCAAAGTTTCTCAAATCATCTGTGGAGATCACCAGAAGCTGCTGCTGCTGTCACTTTGCCAAGTCAATTCTGACCACGAAGCTGATCGAAGCTATAAAGTTCAAGGAACATGCTGAATACTTGGCCACCATTTACTTGCCCTGCGCCTTTCATACTTACTGGTAAAACCCCATATTTGTTGATAAAAATATACATATTTTAACTTTATTAATTACCCAAGTCAAATCTTCTTCTTTTTGCTTACTGTATTAATTGCCCTACGCCTCTGGTTTGTAAGTAAGTAGGAGAGGGAGAGAAGAATGGAGAAGAAGATAAACTTTTTGTTCTTTAATTTTTTTCTTAAATGTTGGTCAAAACCTTTGGAAAGTCAAATGTGTGGGAAAATAGTGTCACATTATCATTTCGTTACCTAGATTAACTACTAATAACGTCTATCAACGTTAAGTAACAAGTTTATAACCAATCGATAATATTAGTGACCAATTTATAACTTTTGAAACATCAGTAGGGAAAACGAAACCTACCTTACACATTAGTAACCATCTGTGTATTTACCCAATTAAAAAAACTTCGAAACAATCCAAGTAGAAATAGGCGATGTACAGGGAGTAGTGTGTAATATGAGAAATTTAGAGGGGTTAAAAAGTGGGGGGATACGTATTTCCACTTTCCAACTTTTGTCTTTTTCTCAGACTTAATTATTCAATCCGGTCCCTGATTCGTGATTCCCACTTCCAGCTTACAACGCCGAGAGAGAAATATAAATAGAAAGAGAGAGGGAGAGCAGGCCAGGGTTCATAATAATACGAACCGAAAAACCAAAGAAGGGCAAACCCTAGGAAATTCTTAATTTCGGATTCTGTATAATTGAAGATTTACATTCCGAGATCTTATTTCTTCAATAATCCAAAGGCAAGCTTCAAAATTTTTTTTATTTATAAATTTCAACTTATTTTTCGTTTGTTTGTTTTTCAATCTGTTTGTGAATCTTAGAAAATATTAATTCCTTTTTCGAGTTAATTTGAATTCATTTTCATCTCACATATTGTGTAACATTTCCTTTTTATGCTGAATACAGAACATATAATATTCAACGATTAAGAATTCTTTTTTTTAATCATGAGCTGCATTTTGGCTTTTATTTATCTTTAGATTTTCTGGGCTCCCTTCTGGTTGCTGATAAAATGCGGAAAATAAGTTTTAAGGATTCTATACTTTATTTAGCTTAGTCTCTGTTTTATTTTTTTTATTTATTCTTTTTTATTATTCTGAACAGAATTTAATTAGGTTTTTGATGTTGCTTTTTATTTTTCCTGTTTGGGTGGAGGAACTATAGATAATGTCAGAATCGTTGTTCTTAGCTAATTGAATCTGTTAATTTTAACAGGTTTCCTTTGCATTTTTTTTCTTCCAGTTTTGTTAGATGCAATTGGAGTGTCTCATTTAAGTTTATGAATAGATTACTTAGATCATGTTGTATGGAAAGTCATGAACTCCTGATTTATATTTTCCTGTTTGTGAGGAATATGCTGCTATTTCATTGCAGATTACATGCTTTGCTGCATATGCGAAAATGGTCACTTTTTAGACACAATATGAATATGATATCATCGGATAAGTCTTCTTGTTTGACCGAGACTGGGAAACATTCTTTTGTGACACAGTGTTTGAGTATTTTATATGTTTTTAATGCACAGTTTTGATTTAAACAATCAACATATAGATCTTCATAAAAGTGTTGTGTAATGTTAGAATCTTCTACCTACAACATAAAAGCAGAGTTCTTGTAACTATAGTGTTTGTTTGACATTATCTTTTTTTTTCCGGGTATGTTGATGTAGCAATTGGAACTAGGGACAAAATTGATGTTGATGTAAGACGTAAAGTCATGTTGAAGGCATAACTTATGAGTTTTTTTTTAATAAAAATAAAATTATGTGATAGAATATCTACTTGTTATACGATGCTGTGTGCCAGACAAACTTATTTATGTTAAGATCACTGTCTGCTATATGATTGATAGGTTTGATGCATGGTACAGTATATTGTTTTTTCTGATTTCCTTTGTTGAAGGGATGGCTTACTGTCTCTTGGTTTCTGAACTGAAATTGACATCACAACTCTTTTTATAGGACTTTTATGTTTGCCTTTGTTCTTATCCTAATTATCTATTTCATGATCAGTTTCTCATGTTCCCTGCATAGGAACTGGTTGATCTCGGCCATGGCGAATTCCAAGAGATCAACAAATATAAGAAATTTGATGTTTCCTGGAAAGCACGCCTTACTTCCTCCAAAATGTCCATTTCCTACTGTTTCCTCAACATATAATGATAATGCGCCCAACAATGTACTTGGATCAAAAGTGGTTCAAAAACCTAGAGAGGGAAGTGCATACCACCAGCGCACTTCCTCTGAAAGCTTTTTGATAGAGGAACAACCTTCTTGGCTTGATGATCTCCTTAATGAGCCAGAGACTCCCGTGCGCAGAGGAGGCCATCGACGATCATCGAGTGACTCTTTTACATACATTGATGTATCTAGTGCTCCTAACCTAGATTATGCATCTCAGGATGATTATAGTTATAGAAATATGAATCCTGAACTTTCTTGGCCATCTCATGACTTTGATCATCACATTTGTAAAGATGCTCAGCTTAACTCTTTCTACGCCGATGAGAACTTGTTAAAGCAAAAGAATAGGGCTTGGGATTCATCTTTGAATGCTGTGACCCATCCAAGAGGGCCTCCTTCACTTAGAGAAAACACATTTGTTCAGGGTTTAGGATCATTTTCACCACGAAAACTAGAGGGTATACCAACAACAGCAAATGGAAAACAAGATTCTGCTAAATCTGTCCCTTTTGATGCTGAAGCTTCTTCTGAGAAAAAAGATAATTCCCACGCCAAGTCTTCTGGATCTGACAGTGACACAAAAAGAGCCAAGCAGTGAGTAGCCATTTTTGTTGTTCCGCAATTTGGTATAGTAATACTCTAGTGATATATTGTGTTTCCTGGTTGCAAGGCCTGCTATTGTTGTTGCTTCCCCCCCTTGTGCTTGCATCGAGCAAAATCTCATACCGTCATCAATATCTTTTAAAAGTTACAGTTTATGAGCTCAGGGAATATTGATAGTTGCTTATAATGCCTCTAATGTTGTTAATAGTTACTTTTTTGCTTATAATGATCAAATTGACAAGGAGTTCTAAGTTACTTTTCAACGGGATTTATAGATAACGCTAAGATATGGATCTGCAGCTTCCCTAGGAATGATTGCATGATTAGATATTTCTTGCATTTCAATTCACTTTCTAGTTGTTTTGCATTTTTTGGCCTTTTACCTTGGCTATTTTGGCTGGAATTTCTTATGCTTTCTTTTGTTCAATGGAATTTGTTATACTCACAAAAGGATAACATAAATACATTTTATTATGTTCTCTTTTTTCTTGGTGGAATGCCATATCACTTTCGTTCTTTCTCTATTCTTTTTTGGGTGCCTGGTGTTTAAGATATTTCTTTTGCTAGTAACTAGTGACTTTGATTTACTTTTGCTGTGTGATTCTTAGAACTTCTATAAAAAAATTAGTTGTTATACCAAGGCCTAAATTGGTAGAAAATGTTTGATTACGGTACTTTGTTATTGTCTATTGCAGGCAATTTGCTCAACGCTCAAGAGTGCGTAAACTTCAGTACATAGCTGAGCTGGAAAGAAATGTACAAGCTTTGCAGGCAAGAATTAGTCTGAAATGAAGTTTTTTAACATGTACTACTTTTGAAATTGACTTGAAAGTTATGAGGGAGTATGTTCCTTATGATGAAGTGTTATTCCGTTTCTTACTTGACAGGCTGAAGGATCTGAAGTTTCAGCTGAGCTTGAATTTCTTAACCAACGGAATCTTATTCTTACCATGGAGAACAAAGCTCTTACTCAACGTTTAGAGAGTTTAGCTCAAGAGCAGGCCATCAAATATCGTAATTGTCTAACTTATGACGTCTAATGCTATGATTAAATGTTGTTTTTCTGCATTACAATTGCATTTCACCTTTTTCATCTCTACGTTTTAATTATTTGTATGGCCCATGCAAATTGGCAGTATGCTAAAACCAGGTAGGTTTTTATATTCCATAGGCTTCTAATGAATATGCTTTAAAAGGGGGAAAACATTTCAATTCATTGAAACTTTGACCAAAATAGTTACCGAAGAATTGGTTTGAGATAGTTTGAGCATGAGTTGCTTTGTAAACTGAAATTTACTATCAAATTCTAGAATTATTTGAGAGAAGGAAGAATATATATGCAGAAATTTGTATTAGAGATCGTAGGTTCCTTTGGTTATGATTAGTTTATTATGATAGTAAAGGATATAAACGATTAGTTTATTATGATTAGTTTATTATGATAATAAAGGATATAAATGATTAGTTTATTATGATTAGTTTACTAACTCATGAGTGAATAAATTTCGCTTGTTTTACCTTCGTGTTAGGAGGGAAAATATAGGATATGAATAGTCCATGTCTTATTCTTTTGGTTGGGAAAAGTGATTTTGCGTTTTCCTTGTGGGGAGTAGTCATCTATAACAATGCGTTGGATCTTTCAAAAGCATGAATTATCACGGAGAAAGGCAAATGTGTCTGATAGGCCATCATTGGTCTCTCTTGCTACATCATCAATTATTTTATTTGGTTAAAACAAAATTTTATAGAAGGCAAACTAATTCATGCAATCATTGTGCTCAGTGGAGCAGGAAGTATTGGAGAGGGAACTTGGTAGGCTACGAGGCTTGTACCAGCAGCAACAAAATCAACAGCAGCAGAAGCACAAGCATCCATCATCAAGCCATCAACGCTCTAGCAGTAGAGATATTGATTCCCAATTTGCAAACCTATCTCTGAAATAGAGGGATACCAGTTCCGGTCATGACACTGTCACTGGTCCACTGCATTTAAATATCTAATCTAGCCAGAGCTTTTTGGGCAACTACTTCAACTGGAACTGCCATACTGACCAAATTTGTTGCTTCCACATCCCTTTGCGCGGGGATAAAGCTAAGTTCATCCAGTCTTGGTGCCCTCCCTCTGCCTGATATTCTCTTTACTTTACGTCATATCTTACCCTTTTTATTTTCCTTTCAGCCAATTAAATCTTGATGTGCACCTGGTAGTCATTGCCAGCAAATTTGATTTCTGGCACATGATTCGCCTGAGGTGGTAAACATAAGAACATTTCCCTCCTTCCTGTCTATTCATCAGTGGTTGCTATGATTGTGAAATTTATTTTTCCTCCATTTGGAGTATCCCCAGTGGATCCCACCTCATTGTGAGGAGATCTTTAGGCTGTTTAGATGTGCATTATATATAAGGCATAATGGCAGGAAAATATTTATTGTACAATGCTTTTAATCAAGTCTCTGTCATATTTATGGGCTCTGTTGGATATATGTATTTGCCAGGTATTGATCCTCATCTTGAAGATAGTTTGATGTTTGCAATCAAGGAGCTGCCCTGATACTATATATTATTTAACCCCTCTCCATCTTTTCCCTTGGCATTATCAGGGGTTATTTTACAACTATTATTAGTTTTCTTATGAAAAATTAGAGTTGTTGAAATAAGGTCCAAATATTCTCATTTGTTTTTTTTAACAAACTTGAGTTTATTTTAACATTGTTGTCGTTACAAACCTTCCTAGAGTGCAAATCCCTTGGCTACTCACGCATTTGTCCAGCTACTGCAGGACGGGAAGAATAGGATTGTTTAAGAAAAAGAGCAACAACGAATGTATTTGCTAATTACTTTTGGAGGGTAGGGTCAATAATGCAAGTTGAAAGCGACGCATATGTGAAAGAAAGTTTCTAATGCAGCCAGGCTGGTCAAGTGGTCACCCCTTTGCCCCACAACCATCATTGAGCTGTGTGTTAACCCACCACGATCAATCTCATCTGCAAATTGCCATGGTAGTTGTCAATTGTCAAATTCAGTTAGGATAATTATTTGGGTAAGCTACGTATTTAGTTACCTAATTACCTTTTTTTCAAAAAAATAATTGCCATGCCAACTTTTTTGTTTATTTTTAACGGTGAGTGATTAAGACGAAATAAAAATATAACTTTAGGTATGATTTAAGAAAAAATAGTTGGTTATCAAAATAGAATCATGGGAGTAGTTGGATGACTAAATACATAGTTTATCCTTATTATTTTATTGTTGAAAATCTTGGAGCATGATCGGAGAGAGTCGTGAAAGAAGTCCCAAGGAAGAAGCCCCTTATAAGTAAAAATTGTCTTTTGCAGGGGAGGAGAGGAATTTTACCTTAGAGCTCCTATAATAATGCCCTTACTATTTAGGGTAGCTGTAAACGATTCTTGAATATTAGATCCGTTGAAGGATAACATTATTTGTTAGAAGAAAGCCCTATTCTCCACGGTAATCTTGATTTTTTTCCTACTGCTATCTTAAGCTAGAATCAATGGGCGAAGTAAATTGATCACAATGTTCTCTCAGATCAAATTTCCAACCTTAAACAATAAGTCAATAACCCCGAGAAGTATATTAGTTATACATTCATTCACAAAAAATATATAAATATATATACAATCTTTCTAGGTATTCACGATCAAGAGAGCATCAAAGAATCCCAAAACCCTGTAGGTGGTTTTCTAATTCTTTTAACAACTTTAAACAGAGCAAAGAAAAGTTTTTTTTTATTATTTTTACAATTGGGAACTAGAAGTCTACATTGCTCATACATTTTCATTATTAAGCTCATTACTTTACCAGAAACTGAGAAAAAGATGGCAGTGCATATTCTGGATAGCAAAATGAACTTACTGATAAAACCATATTAGCTTTTCAGATTGGGGTGCAATGTGACCGAGTTCGACTCCCTGTAATTCTTCACGATGTTATGATTATGCACCGTTATCTTCACCCTCCAACTGCGTGTCTAGCTTTGTTTCATTTGCCATTGAACCCATAGTGGACACCTATATTCCGAGCACCTCACTAAAGATGGCGGCTCCCGATTTTTGTGTTTTATTTGTTGCAACGACGACGGTGTTTCACCGAAACTGTTGAGAAGTAATCATCAGAACCTATGAAATTGTAAGTATTCACATGCAGCTTCAAGAAGGAATGCCCTCAAAATTCAACAATCATGCAATACTAGGTATACATGTATGCATTCATTCATGCATGCATACAAGTATGTACGTACATATGTATGTATGCATACTGATACATGCGTGTATGAAAGGATAAAGATTTACTTTATACATTTTGCTCCATGTAATCCTTGGCAGCTGCAGCTGCACTTGGGACAAGGAACTATGGTGCTATTGTAGAATCCAGACAATGAATGATACACGGCACTTTGGAGTAGTTGATGCCAGAAATTGGGAGTTCATACAGCTCACATTCCACAGTTCAATTCAAGAGAAAAATAGGGTCAAAACAACAGAAGACCTCCATCTGAACTACATTTACCAAGAGCTTGTGTCCACCGACGACCTCCATCCGAACTATACTTACTCGGTGCAACCTGAACTGGTGCCGCACAGGTATCAGTCTTGAACTCCGATAGTGAAATTTTCCGGCACGTTGAAGTTGGATTTGTCGCAGGAGGAGATGCTAATCTGAAAGACGGCACCGTATTTAGAGGGGTCTTGGATCATGGGTGATAGAGCACCTCCTTAACAACGTTATATGGGACACATTCCTTACAACTCAGAAAGAACACAAACAAAAAGTAGCAGTGTAAGCGCAGTAAACACTAGCCATGCATTGGACTTTCACTACTCTGTAACATAAACAGTTACTTGAAACTTCAAAAAGGATTTTTAATTAGGATCAATTCCTTAAAAAATAATTTAAATCCAAAAGAATATGCATGATTGTAAGATTCAATCCAGACTGGTTTCAAACATAAATAAATTACTATATTATTTATCATGTGTGCATTAGATGTTCATTGACAATATATAAATTTATCCAAAATAAATGTAAAATATATAAATTCAAAATAGCATGCATGGTTGTAAAAGTTGAGCAAGACTTGTTGGTTCAATCTATTGGTTTAGTGGTTAACTTTGGTAAAACGAAAATGTTTATTTATAAACAAATAAAATATTATGAGTTCAGTTGATATCATACTGTTACAACAATTTAAATAGACTAAATTCTATGATTAATACTTGTATTATACATAAATTTTGGATTTAGTTCTTTTACTTTAATTTCATTATTTTAGTCTTTGTACTTTTCAGATTTAAAATTTCGATCCTAATTCAGATAGTAGTTGTGAAATCTATTAAATTAAATTAAGTCATTAGTCTCTATATTATACCTTAGTTAGATTTAGTTCATGTTCTCCAATTTGATAATTTTAAGTCATGTAGTTTAGTTATATCGTCTTAGTATTATTTGAGTAAGCTTGATCTTTAAATTTTAAAAAGTAATAGGATTAAATTAATTAAATTAAAAGGCATGTATTCAATCTATAACTTTCTTTTCGAATAGACTAAATCTGTAACTTATATATAATACAAATAATAACATAACCGTTAAATCATTGGTAATGTGCACACATTCTACAAATATGACCTTTCGAATCTTACATATACTTCATTTTACCACTGAAATCACTTGATGTGAGTTGACACTAATTTTTGTCTATTTTTATTATTAATTATATTATTATTATATTACATATTTATTATATATATATTATTTTATTATATTTGCATTTACAAATATTACAAAGTCGAGGCCCAATATCACAATTATAGCCCAGAGGCCCATTTACAATTAAAGATTTGGATCCTACCCAGTTGGCCTAACAGATCCGATTCAGGCCCAGATCTAGCAGGCCCACGTGAAGTCTAAGGTCTGCTAGGGTTTCTCACATACAGCCCCAGCCGCCAGCTCATCTCCACTGTCCGATCCAGATGAAGATCGACGCATTAGATTCTTCCAGATGATTCCAGAAACCCTAGGGTTTCATTGCAACCTTAGGGTTATCATTCTGCCACCTCCACTGCTCTAACTGCTTGTCGTCACGATGTCGCCGCCTCCAATAGAAGGATCCAGAAGGTGAATATCATTCGTACACCTCACCACCCCTAGGTGAGTCACCACCATAGCCTTGGTGACTCACCGGAGTACACCCTCGTGACCGACCCGAAGGAAGCACCACTGAGCCCTATATAAGGACTCGATCAAACCTGAAAAAAAACAACAAGAACAAGAACAACAATAATAGAGAGCAAGAAAGAGGTGCCCAATATAACAACAACGGAAAACAACGGCGAGCAACCAACAGAAACTGAAAATAATCGAAATGAAGACAAAAAGAAACTAACCACGAAGGAGAGCTTAAACATCATCGGAAACCACCGAAAGATCGAAGGTATAAACCTAGATCTAGGAAATTTTAAGGGCTTTTAGGAGAAACGAAGACCAGATTTGGCTTTAGGGTGTTGAGAACTTTGATTTAAGGGTTATTTGTAAATTTCGAAGGCGAAATATGGCGGAACAGGGTGGTCGACAGGTGGTAGCCATCCTTCAGGCGAGGGAATTTAGAGAGAAGAGAGAGCTTCTCTCTCCTTTGAGAGAGAAGCAAAACGAGGAAATGAGAGAATGACCCTTAGAGGGCCGGTTTTGGGCAATATATACCCTCTCCTGAATGATGTCATTTTAGGGAGGGTATCTTTGTAATTTTAGCATGGGTTAACTACCCACGTAATCCCTATGGTTATATAAGCTTTACGATTTGGTCATCGAAATCAGGTTTATTCGTATTTTAATTTGGTATTTTAATTCTGTATATTTATATTTTAGTCATTATATATATATATATATAGATTAATTATGTATTTAGTTCCTAAATATTAATAAACTTATATTTTAATCCGAGTTAATAATTTAGAGTAAATTACATTCTTAGTATAATATTTTAGGACTATTTCAAATTAAGATTAATTAATATTAATATTTTATGTATTAATTATTAATAGTTATTACATTATGTGATAAACTAATATTTATACTTTAGGATTAATCATATGTAATTTTAATTAATATATTTATAATACTTTATCTTATAATAGGATTAATAATATTGATATTATCTAATAATTATTTATTATTTAAATATAAATTTATCATTTACTGCAAAGACATTTAATTAATAAACACCGCTACCAATTTTAGGCGTTTTGAGGGTGCTAATCCTTCCTCATACGTAACCGACTCCCAAACTCATTTTTCTGGTAAAACAAACCCAAGTTGTATTATTTTAATATTATTCTTAGGAATTTTATTAGAATAATATGACATTTTGGTGACCAATCTCACCAAATAAAAAGATTGGTGGCGACTCTACATTTTGGTGTTTTATCTGATTCATGGAAGATAAGCACTTACTTTTTCGAGACTAGTTACACTCCTTGAGGTGTACTATTTACACTCTCCATCGCTAGGGCAGAGAAACGT